GTCGGTTCAATTCAGGTGCTTGTGCACCTTTCCGAACACGTCAGAGGTTTCGACTACCAATGGTTACCATACCCACAGGTGGGTGACCTGTTAGGTATAATGGTAATGATGAGGACTAATGAGTGTTTTGCAGGCAGCATCGTTCGATAAGGACAAGGAATGGATTCCCAGTACACGTGAACAACACCAAAGGAGATATTTCCTCTGGTGTAATCACGTTCGATGGAAAACAGATTCTTGGAAAGGTCGACGTCAGGAATGAAAAATCCTCGGCCGGATTTGGTGGCAAAGAAAACATGCTTGTCGGACCGGCGTGCGCCAACAACACCATAGTACTGTGCCGTAAAGCAAGGCCTGGATACAAGTTCGATTAGGACCACAAATTATTTATGTTGCATTATGAATCGAGAAGAATCATTGTGCAAACATAAAATTTTTGTAAATCGTGAAGAAAACATCGTTTCCTCTCGTGTTGTTGTAAAACAGCTGGAGTGGATGAACTCAAACTTCAAGAAATGACAGACAACTGAGGCCTATCCTACTATATATAATCGGCTAAGCGGTTGTGCGTGTGTGTGTCTGTGTGTGTGTATGTGTTTGTCTGTCTGACCGGAAATTCATAGCTCGGGCACCAGTGGTCGTCAGGAGTTGGTTTCAAGATATGATATAGGGGGTGGGACGGGAACATATTTGGTGGGGTAAAGAAAGTGATAACAACTGATAAGGGCTGATAAAAGGCGCTAGAACGCAAGTGTCGCGAAATTCATAGCTCGGGCACCAGTGGTCGTCAGGAGTTGGTTTCAAGATATGATATAGGGGGTGGGACGGGAACATATTTGGTGGGGTACAGAAAGTGATAACAACTGATAAGGGCTGATAAAAGGCGCTAGAACGCAAGTGTCGCGAAATTCATAGCTCGGGCACCAGTGGTCGTCAGGAGTTGGTTTCAAGATATGATATAGGGGTGGGACGGGAACATATTTGGTGGGGTACAGAAAGTGATAACAACTGATAAGGGCTGATAAAAGGCGCTAGAACGCAAGTGTCGCGAAATTCATAGTGCGCTTCGCAGCAGTCGTCAGGAGCTGATTTTGGGACATGATATAGGGGGTGGGACGCAAACATATTTGGTGGGTCACCAAGTGATAACGACTGATGACGACTGATATAACGACATGCGTACGAACGTAGAGCACTTGAAATAGAATAGGAGCAGATTGTAGATAATGCCTTTCATTTCAATATCATTTCATCAGCGTTGTAATTGTAAACTCAAACACCTTTCGACCGCTACACCTTCTAGAGTTCTTGAGGATGAATGGGATGCTCGAATAAATATGATAATGAATACTGGGCATTCCGTTTTGAGATATTCGACCGCTAAATTACCTCGATACTCGACGCATAGTGGTTGTTTACATCATCACTTTAGCTGTGCACTTCACTGCGCTTATCAAACAGTGAGATACAGCCAAGATGGGCAGCCTATGCAACGGACAGTAATACATTTAACGAAGCAGCTATAATTTATGCGGTGAAACTTTTACGATTTTTTTCTCGTTATTTTTGTCAGTTCTATCATATGCTGCGCGGTAGCCGGTTCGAAGCTAAACTGGTGTTTTAGATTAAGGCAGTTTGTGTATTCAGTTTATGCTTATTATGATACTACAACATTCAATAAAGTGACGTTTCAGGAGCCTTGGGACTCTAGGAGCTCGTCAGCGTCATATCGTCGATCTTGCCCCTAATTATCTCTTGGTTGGTCACACATTCTCACCTCGTGTTTGAGAGCTGTAATGTTCCAAATCAGTGCCTATCCAGCGTTGAGAAGTCCAGTAAACCTAAGACGCGAACAAGCAATAAGTACGCCGACAGCAAGCAAATGGTCATGTTACCATAAATCATTTGGCTAGTCGCTGTCGTCCTCTATGCCTGTCACAGAACTTCCCCTAGCTCCTGGATGATCCTTGGAGGGACCCGTCATAGAGAGGGACGGGTGGACTGGTCTCGAGACAGTTGCCACAATCATACTACTACAGCAAATGGAGTGCCACCCACTAGTGAGCACGTGTGTGCACCGGAAAGCAGTATTCTCGACGACCTAAGATTTTTAAATTCTATGTATTACAAAACAGCCTCGAACTGTGGGAAAAGTGAGTAAGGCCGATGTCATAGTTTGCGAATCGAGCGATTCGCTAGCGAATCGCTGGATCCGAGCGTTGCGCCAGCGAATCGAACGTTGCACCAGCGAGTCGAACGATGTACCAGCGAGTCGAACTATGTACCAGCGACTCAATAGTGGCGGGACCCAACGTTCAAAGGAAGCCCGCCACTTTCAAACAGTGTCCACTGTCACGTGACACTGTTTGAAAGTGGCGGGCTTCCTTTGAACGTTGGGTCCCGCCACTATTGAGTCGCTGGTACCTAGTTCGACTCGCTGGTGCATCGTTCGATTCGCTGGCGCAACGCTCGGATCCAGCGATTCGCTAGCGAATCGCTCGATTCGCAAACTATGACATCGGCCTAAAGGTGTGCATTGGTAAGCCAGATTGAAGTAGGGAGACCCGCCTCCGGTGGGCGGAGCGTGCCCTGAAGTACACAGCGTTTCCTACAAGTCACCATAATTCGGTTCCGAGAAGCCATGGAAAGCTGGAAAAAGGTGATAGAGGTCAGAGAAGGAGGGGAGGCTAAATGTTAATCTTGGGCGTGGCGCGCACAAAAGTGCTTTGCTACCAAACTTATAACTCGGTTCCAAGAAGTTTCACAAACCGGAAAAAAAGGCTAGAGTTTGACTACGGAAGGAAGGTCAAGATCTATAGGTGGGTGGAAGCGTGCGCCAATGTGGGCGGAGTTATCCATGAAATATTATAACTCGGTTCCAAGAAGTCCTGGAGACCAGGAAAGGAGGTAGAGGTGGGCGTAGGCAAGGAAATCAACTGCTATTGGGGCACGCACCAAAGCGGGCGGGATTTGCCGAAAAGTTCGCGATTCGGTTCCAAGAAGTCCCAAAGACCGGGAAAAAGTGGATCCAGCTGAAAACGAAAGGGAAGCCAATTGCCATTGGTGGGTGGGGCATGCACCAAAGTGGGCGGAGTTTGCCACAAAATTCATAACTCGGTTCCAAGAAGTCCAGGAGACCGGGAAAAAGGGAGTAGAGGTCGGCGAAGGAAAGGAGGTCAACTGCTATTAGTGGGCGGAGCATGCACCAAGTGGGCGGAGTTTGCCAAAAGTGTCGTAATTTGGTTCCAAGAGGTCCAGAGACCGGGGAAAAAAGGGGTAGAGGTCGGCGAAAGGGAAGGAGGAAAGCTATTGGTGGGCGGGCACGCACCAGTGGGCGGAGTTTGCCACAAAATTTCGCGATTCGGTCCCGAGCGGTCTCGGAGAATGGAAGAAAAGGGGTAGAGGCGGCGAAAGAAAGGAGGTGCTAATGGTGAGCGTTCATGCAACAAAAAAAGGGGCGGAATTTGTTGCCAGAATTATAGCTCGGTTTCAGGAAGTTCCAGAGATCGGGAAAAAGTGGCGAAGGAAAGGAAGTGAATTTCTAATGGTGTGCGGAGATGCACCAAAAAAGCAGGTTTCGCCGCCAAACATATAAATCGGCTCAGAGACAGTTCAGAGATCGGGTAAAAAGTGGGAGAGGTTGGCGAGGAAGAAAAAGATAGGTGGGACATGCAACGAAATAGGCGGAGTTTACCACGAGATTTATAAATCGGTCCAGAGGCAGTCCGGAGACCGGGAAAAGCGGACAATGGTTGACGAAGTGGGAAGGTCAAGTCATCGGTGGACGAGGATGAGAGAAGCGGATGAAATTTAGCTTAAAGGCAAGAATCAGGATTAAATTGATGGGTGATTCCACTCAAATGTGAAAGTAGGGGTGGGAGGTGGACCGCCAGTGGAGAAAAAAGGAAAGAAAATCCTGAAATACACAGGAAATACGAGCATTTTGCTCTATGCTGTGGAGAAGTTCAAAAGACAGGCAGGGCGTAGAGAGATAATGTAAGCTTGCTAGCTTAAGAGTCCATGGCGCCTAAGATCCTAGTGGCGCGTTTCAATGTAGAAATGTGGCGCTGCCTTTGCACTTACGTATGCGCGAGTTCTAGGGCCATGGTAAAGGTTCTTAGGTGAGTCTGAAGGCCGAACTTTTCCGGCTTCAAAAGCCAAATATTCGTAGTTGCTCGGCAGAAATTTGGGGATTTACGGCTGCACAATTCATATGCCGCAGATTATGTTGTGCGGCAGACAGCGTGCGCCACCGGTTAGTTATTATAGATAATAAATTTATTTATCTTTTTCGGCAATGTCCACGCTTCCGCTTTTACATCAAAATGCAGGCAGCAATTTGGATGCGATTTCGGATCTATATAATAAAGCGCTATGTAGAAGTCAATGATTTCCTCCTCTCATCGCAGGCAAGTTAATAAGAATCACTCAATCGGTTGGCCTGGATAGCACACCATCAACGACTTGATCCCTAACCATGCGCGTGGGAAAGGGCATCACTTAGCGTACCTCCAGTGCATTTCTCTAAATTTGTGGAGCATTTAAAAACTTTTCTCCACGTCCTCGGTCCAACACATAGCAAGTGGAAGCCCAAAACGCCCCTCTAAGCCCTACAAATAAGAAGGATGCGACATTCAAGCCTCATAATGTTGTTGGTGCTGTCCCTAAGCATAAGATGGATAGCATCCTTCTATTATATAAAGCGCTAACTTTGTGTGTCGGTTTGTGTATCTGTATGTGTGTGTGTGTGTGTGTGTGTGTGTGTGTATGTATGTGTGTCCGTCCGCAAAATGAAGTGAGTGAGAAGGAAGCTCATGGGATAAACAAACCGCTAACAAATCGGGTAGCTTACAGGATTTGAGATATCAATGTTTTGTAGCAGGATAGTTGTGATACTCTTAGGGCTATATAAACACCTGCTTAGCACACTTCCGTTCATTCCACATGGTGCTGCAGT